AGTGTGTGAGTGTGTGTGTGTGTGAGTGAGTGTGTGTGAGTGTGTGAGTGAGTGTGTGTGTGTGAGTGAGTTTGTGTGTGTGTGTGTGTGTGTGTGTGTGTTGAGCAGAAAAACATTCACACACACTCACTGTATTTCTCAAAGTAATATGATAATAGTATTCATGAAGTACATTCGAATTGCTTAAGTGCAACAGTGCATGTGTATGGAAATGATTAAGTGTGGTAGTATGGTATTACCATGTTTTTGGACATGTACAATGATTGTGTCATGGTATTCTTGGAAGTGCATTGGAGAACCGTTTAAAAATACCTGGATACATACATTTTAGTACCATATAAATAAAAAAACCATGATGGTACCATAACTGTACCATGGTGCAACCTAGTTTTTGTGAGGGAAGGCACCACCTTGGTATAATCATGTGACTGATATGGGTTTTAATGGCTGATATCTAGAGAGCAGATGGTTGATTTGTTTAAAGCAATTCAATGGTAGAAAATGAAAAGTAGTGCTGGGCGGTATCATTTCAAAATTATACCGGTTTCACAGTACATGATGGTATTTTTATTTTCATGCATGACCCGGACACTTCTCCGGGAAAGTCCTGTGACCTCGCGCTCGCGGGACAGCACTGGAGAAATCTTCCAACTGAACCATAGCTAAGCTTTATCCAAAAAAGTCGCTAGGTTTGTCAGTATGAATATTCTATGGGAAAATCCGCTAAAAGGGTCTGAAAGTTGCTAAATCTAGTGCTAAAGTCGCACTCGTGTGTGTGTGTGAGACGCGGGAGCTGATGGCAGGGGTGCTGGATATTGTGGATGAGTTCTTCTGTGTCATCACGTTCTATTAGTTCACGCTCAGTAACACATACAGCTGTGCCCTCACCACAGTGCAGCAGTGAAAAGGGACCCCTTTCAAACAGTTCCGAACGTTGTTTAAGCGACATACACCGTTATTTAAAAAATTCATATCATAACAAAAATAAACACCGGTATTCGGTATGAACTGGTATACCGCCCAGCACTAATGAAAAGTATACACAATTTTTGCTGCAGTATTTGCTGAATTCACTAAAATCTGTTATAATAAATCCTGTCAATGCGTTTTGGGTTTTACATTGTGCATGTTCCCATATTCATTATTTACTCACCCTCTTTTTGTTACAACCATGACTTCAGTTGAACACAAAAAGGTTAATATTTGGGCTTTTAGCCTCTAAAATGACAATGTTTCGTAACAGCAGTCCATACGACTCATGCACTACATACTCCAAGTCTTTTGAAGTCATATGGTAGCTTTGTATGACGAACAGACCCACATTTTTCATATGGCTTTATAAGACTTGAAATGTAGTGCATATTATATAACATTACGTTTATGCGTTATGCAGATGCTTTTACCTAAAACAGCCAATGTTGCATTCAAGGTCTACTTTTGATCAGTTCATGCATTCTCTGGGAATTGAACCCATGACCTTGGTGTTGCTGGCGCTGTGCTTTACTGTCGCACAACTCATATGGACAACTGTTATGATGCTTTTAATACTCTTAAGGTGTTTTTATGTCATTTTGAAGCTTAAAATCTCCAGTCCCTATAGAGCACAAAAGCGTTTCCCATTTTTTCAGCGGCCTTGGTTCTGGAAGTATTTTTCCCATAGGGATTTTTAAAAAGTCTTTGTTAAAGAGTTGTAGTCCAAAAACCAAATCGGACAAAAAGACAAAGTTACAAGGCTGTGAACTTAATGGCTTTAATGAGAGAAAGGACTGCAATCCCATGTAGCAATGATATGATCAAATGAAAAACAATAGAGAAATTAAAGCTATTTATTTAAAGATGTTGATTATGTATTTAGATTGAACCAATTAATTTGATGTTTACTGCAAAAAATGCATTTATATTTTGTCAATTGCAAACCTTCCTGGGAGTTGGTGGTAGTTTTGGTGTGATTTCTTTGTAGAATCACGGTTAACAGTTTTTCATTGCACATTTTAATATTAAAAATGATTATTTAAAAGTTATATACCATTAATTAACAACCTTGTAGCTCACAGTAGGTCTGTCTTTAATGGTTTATGAGTTAAAGACAGACCTAAAATCATTTCCACCTTTGGAGAAAATGAATGGGATTTTTACTTCCGGAAGCTAACTGTTGGATTCAAAAAAGTATGTTATTCAAAATTTCTCAGAAAAGTCATACCCTATTGTTTTGAGTAAATAACGGCAGAATTGTCTTTGTTGAGTGAACAGAGAACACGCACACACTGACAGATCAAAAACGTTGTCTTCAGCAGTGCTTTCATAAAGCAGTTTGGTAGAGCGAGGGTCATTTATCAGGAAAGAACAGCAGCTTGATTTGTTTTGGTGTCAGTTTGTCATCCTACCACAGTAATTATTGTGTCCCGTTTAGTTTGCTGAAGGGCAGAATCATCCCTCGAGTGTCTTTCCTCATTCCTGCCGTCAAACCGTTCAAGTCCTCTCAAAATCTTTGTGGAAAAACCGTCGTCTTCCTTAACGTGAGCCAGCATTGACATTTGCGCCGTTAGTGATCAGAAATTCAGCCGCACATGCACGAAAGCCATGAAAATGTACACTTTGCATTAATAATTCAAGGTCTGCCAGTGCTCTTGGCGTCGATGGAGTGGTCCGAGGTGCTTTTCCACAGGTTCAAAGACTTCGAGTCATTACAACTAATGTAACATCATCAAGTTCAATTCGCGCAAAATACTGTCTCTTGCCATTTGGCAGCTTCTGTTTCCATTAAGTCCAAAATGGCAGTTTCTGCCAGAATATCACAGTGCACTGCCAAAGACGGTCTGATGTTCTGCCGGGGCTCCAAGACTGTAAATATTCTTAACGGATATTTGCAGTCCTGGATGCTGATTTGTCGATATAGCGTTCAAACCGAAGATCGTCATGCAAAATGATGCCACTTTACGACGGTTTGTGCCACTTCGCACAAACTTGGGTATATCCTTTCAATGCATGTGCGGAAAATGCGACTGTTGGATTGTTTCTTGTTAGTTCAGTGTGGTAGTTGTATTCTCTGTGTGCATTAATTAAAAAACAAACCCAGAAAGCTTGCAATGCAAACCGAAAGTGCTAATGTTTGAGTGAGTAGAAGCATTTTGCTTTGCTGTCGAAAACCTTTACAGTTCTAGAAATGAGAATTCAGTTCCAGAAAT